TGTATATAAACTTACATAGCCCTGTATATGAACAGCGTGATGCCGTGTACAGTGTGTATTACTACATTGCTCTGTTTTGTACACCCTGACCTATTATCTTTTGTATCACTTTACATAGCCCCCTGTAGATAAACATCGGCGCGATGCCGTGTATTTACATTGTGTGTATTACTTTACATTGCTCTGTTTGTACACCCTGACGTATTATCTTGTGAAAAACATACATTGCCCTGTATATAAACACCGTGATGCCATGTACAGTGTGTATTACTTACATTGCTCTGTTTGTACACCCTGACGTATTATCTTTGTATCACTTTACATAGCCCTGTATATAAACATCGTGATGCCGTGTACAGTGTGTATTACTTACATTGCTCTGTTGTACACCCTGACGTATTATCTTGTAAAACATACATTGCCCTGTATATAAACATCGTGATGCCGTGTACAGTGTGTATTACTTACATTGCTCTGTTTGTACACCCTGACGTATTATCTTTTGTATCACTTACATAGCCCTGTATATAAACATCGTGATGCCGTGTGTGTATTACTTACATTGCTCTATTTGTACACCCTGACGTATTATCTTTTGTATCACTTACATAGCCCTGTATATAAACATCGTGATGCCGTGTACAGTGTGTATTACTTACATTGCTCTGTTTGTACACCCTGACGTATTATCTTTTGTATCACTTACATAGCCCTGTATATAAACATCGTGATGCCGTGTACAGTGTGTATTACTTACATTGTTCTGTTTGTACACCCAGACCTATTATCTTTTGTATCACTTACATAGCCCTGCATATGAACATCATTGATGCCGTGTACAGTGTGTATTACTTACATTGCTCTGTTTGTACACCCTGACGTATTATCTTTTGTATCACTCTTACATAGCCCTGTATATAAACATCGTGATGCCGTGTACAGTGTGTATTACTTACATTGCTCTGTTTGTACACCCTGACGTATTATCTTTAGTATCACTTACATAGCCCTGTATATAAACACCGTGATGCCATGTACAGTGTGTATTACTTACATTGCTCTGTTTGTACACCCTGACGTATTATCTTTAGTATCACTTACATAGCCCTGTATATAAACATCGTGATGCCGTGTACAGTGTGTATTACTTTACATTGCTCTGTTTGTACACCCTGACCTATTATCTTTTGTATCACTTACATAGCCCTGTATATAAACATCGCGATGCCGTGTACAGTGTGTATTACTTACATTGCTCTGTTTGTACACCCTGACGTATTATCTTTAGTATCACTTACATAGCCCTGTATATAAACATCGTGATGCCGTGTACAGTGTGTATTACTTACATTGCTCTGTTTGTACACCCTGACGTATTATCTTTTATATCACTTATATAGCCCTGTATATAAACATCGTGGTGCCGTGTACAGTGTGTATTACATTTACATTGCTCTGTTTGTACACCCTGACGTATTATCTTGTAAAACATACATTGCCCTGTATATAAACACCGTGATGCCCGTATGTACAGTGTGTATTACTTACATTGCTCTGTTTGTACACCCTGACGTATTATCTTTTGTATCACTTACATAGCCCTGTATATAAACATCGTGATGCCGTGTACAGTGTGTATTACTTACATTGCTCTGTTTGTACACCCTGACGTATTATCTTTTGTATCACTTACATAGCCCTGTATATAAACATCGTGATGCCGTGTGTGTATTACTTACATTGCTCTGTTTGTACACCCTGACGTATTATCTTTGTAAAAACATACATTGCCCTGTATATGAACATTGTGATGCTGTACAGTGTGTATTACTTTACATTGCTCTGTTTGTACACCCTGACCTATTATCTTTTTTTTGTATCACTTACATAGCCCTGTCTATAAACATCGTGATGCCGTGTACAGTGTGTATTACTTACATTGCTCTCCATTTGTACACCCTGACCTATTATCTTTTGTATCACTTACATAGCCCTGTATATAAACATCGCGATGCCGTGTACAGTGTGTATTACTTACATTGCTCTGTTTGTACACCCTGACGTATTATCTTTTGTATCACTTACATAGCCCTGTATATAAACATCGTGATGCCGTGTACAGTGTGTATTACTTACATTGCTCTGTTTGTACACCCTGACGTATTATCTTTTGTATCACTTACATAGCCCTGTATATAAACACCGTGATGCCATGTACAGTGTGTATTACTTACATTGCTCTGTTTGTACACCCTGACGTATTATCTTTTGTATCACTTACATAGCCCTGTATATAAACATCGTGATGCCGTGTACAGTGTGTATTACTTACATTGCTCTGTTTGTACACCCTGACGTATTATCTTTTGTATCACTTTACACAGCCCTGCATATGAACATCGCGATGCCGTGTACAGTGTGTATTACTTACATTGCTCTGTTTGTACACCCTGACGTATTATCTTTAGTATCACTTACATAGCCCTGTATATAAACATCGTGATGCCGTGTACAGTGTGTATTACTTACATTGCTCTGTTTGTACACCCTGACGTATTATCTTTAGTATCACTTACATAGCCCTGTATATAAACATCGTGATGCCGTGTACAGTGTGTATTACTTACATTGCTCTGTTTGTACACCCTGAAGTATTATCTTTTATATCACTTATATAGCCCTGTATATAAACATCGTGGTGCCGTGTACAGTGTGTATTACTTACATTGCTCTGTTTGTACACTCTGACGTATTATCTTTTATATCACTTATATAGCCCTGTATATAAACATCGTGGTGCCGTGTACAGTGTGTAGTACTTACATTGCCCTGTTTGTACATCCTGATGGCGTGGCCAGTGAGACTGTGGACGATCCGGCCTGACTGGATGTCCCAGCTGAAGATCTCTCCTTGCAGGACGTGATACTTGAGAGTGTTTGCCAGGTCATTGGTGTCAGCGAGAAGCGCGTTGAGATCATCTTTAGGGATAGCGTCAAACGCTGAATTAAGTGGAGCGAGGATGGTGAAGGGACCTTTGAAGAAAATAAATTAGCATTGATTAGATTAATGCATTCTACTGTGCCAAGGATGTGCTTCATTATGTATGATTGATTTGGTTATGCATATACTACCCAGTAACACTTTAGTTCCCTATTACCTAAGTTTTGTGCATCTCTTCAAATGCATAACTTTGAAACATATTTTGCGAGTTCATGTCATACCTTTAGTACATGCAATAAGCACTGTATTTAAAGGCGTCCATTTATCTATTTATGCATTCCAATCGTTCTCATAAGTCTTGTCACGACTTCATACACCTGAATACCGTCATGCTTGGTTCTTGGAATGTCTGTCTGGGCCAATTCCGATCATGATGGTAGCCTAGTGACTAAAGTGTTCGCTCGTTACGCCGAAGGCCCGGCATCGATTCCCCACATGAGTACAATGTGTGAAGCCCATTTACTCTGATCATGAAGAACAATTTTCTACATTTTACAAGAACATCGAATGTACAACCTGAATGCCAAACATTCCCCACGGCACTGTCATACCTGGTCCTTTGAGAGTGGCTTCAAGACCAGCTTTAGTTATCAGATCCGCCAGCTGGGAAGTGTTCCCGTGTGCCGCTAAATCATCCACCAAATTTGGCAAACAATGTGCAACACTTGCCACAAGCGCCAAAACAACCACCCGCATCATCTTGAAGGAAGGTGCCGAAAGTTGAAGCAACTTATAAAAAGGCAGCCGGCTATGAAATTTCGCAAAAGCAAAAGGGCTTGTACGTTTCCTCCAGATAGAGTTATATAACCTACTTATTACTACGCATGCGTATCTTTGACCACAGTCATTTGAGTACGAGGTCGCAGACTCGGGTATCGCGTGGGGGTCACGCGTTAATCTGCAGCTGACCAAATCTAACCACCAAATGTTGAGTCTCAGGAATGACTTTCAAATTAGGCATGAGTCCGCACCTTTCTTATCATACTGGTATGTGCTTGCAGTTCTACACGTAGATAACACTATTTCAGAGCACGAAGGCTATTACTAAATAATGCATTCAGACACAGGATGGTCAAGATTAGTTTCAAAATTGCAAGTAATGCAATTTTCCATTTGAGTGAGTGAGTGAGTTAGTTTTACGCCGCACTCGGCAATATTCCACTGCGGTCTGTAAATAATCGAGTCTGGACCAGACAATCCAGTGATCAACAGCATGAGCATCGATCTGCGCAATTTGGAACCGATGACACGTGTCAACCAAGTCAGCGAGCCTGACCACCCAATCCTGTTAGTCGCCTCTTACGACAAGCATAGTCGCCTTTTGTAGCAAGCATGGGGTTGCTGAAGACCTATTCTACCCCGGATCTTCACGGGTCATGTTCCATTTGAGATGACCTTTCTGAGTTCAAAGATATTAGGAGGATATTATAATATTTATTGTGTGTGGCAGGGTGCGCTGTTATCCTGTGTTCCATGCACCATCCATCCCTTCGCCCCCTTCCCATTGTCTGTAAGCAGCTATTTTAAGAAACTTCATAATTCCCTCTTTACCCAAATGTAGTGACAACAGTGATTGCTCGGGCTTGCGTGCTGACGGAAAGTCAGTCAGTCTCCCCCTGTATTTCCTCACAGTTACAATGGAAAATATACAAAACAATTTGGTAGGAGGCCGATTATTGAGCGTTACGATAGTCATTAATTGTTTGTAACATAACGACAACGGTACAAGAATCTGTATAGAAACGTCGAACTCACCAAATAAAAGAAGTTGTTATGCATAAAATTTGTTCAATATCGCTGTCACATGGCTTGAGTATTGTCGAGTTGAACAAAACAGAGATGTGATAAAGCACGATTTTCCGATATGTGTTACAGAATGTGAAAATTGCCAGCCATATGTATGTGTCAGAAAACCTTCTTCAACTTTCCCAAAGGCCACTCGAATTCCTGTGGATAACATTGACCTGACATACAACGCAGATTCCACTTGCAATAAATACTTATTGAGTTAACTTCTTTCAGAGGCATTTAGAAGTTGGAGCCCTGTGTTGTTATAGTGTCTGGCTTCCTAATGAGCTATTGTACTGTACACACATCTACTCTAACTTGTATATATGCTCCTCTATCCTTATGCTGTTTATCACTTGCTTGATAACGGTGTTAGAAACTACACCGAAACATCGCTCTCACAGAAATGAAAAAGTTGTACATCCATATAGGCAAGATTGTTATCCTTCCTTACTTCTTGAGTTGAATATAAATAACAGCATTTGTTTTCCCCAAGTAGTATGTGCTTATTGTTTCCATGACAGCATACAAGCAATAACGAATACGCAGTCACCGTAATGCTGTGGGTATGGTAAAGTTGGCAGCTCTCGACAACAGGATATACTTAGTTAACCACATAACTACTACATGACAGAAACACATGACTACTACATGACAGGATATTTCCAGAAATAATACACGCACTGGGTAATAACCATGCTCTTCTAGAGGGTAAATCAAGAGGCTATTTCGGAGTACGCCCTCAACCTGAAGTGCAGGATGGCAACATGACCGCCATATCACGATGACATGCAAATAATTGCGAGAATACACTTTGGTGCTTCACAAGAAACCAGGCGCCGGGATACGTTGATACAACATCGGCCATGACTACGTATCGAAGAGCCACGATTGTTTAAGGTTAAATTATGGAATTAACGAGTGAGTTTGGTCGCTGACGTTATGTGCTGGCGATTAAGGACATCACTCTGAGAGCGTGGTTTCGAATTTTGGATATGACTCAACCAAGGTTCTTGGATCTGTGTTTTGGAGAAAAATGTAATCCCAGACATATCCTACGTTACATTTGACTATTTTATAAAAGACTCGGTTACATTTGGTCTTCAGTAACCCATACTTGTCGTAAGAGGGGTCTAACGGGATCGGGTGGTCAGGCTTGCTGACTTCGTTGACACATGTCATCGTATCCCGGGCCAATAAACAATCTTCGGAGGGGAACACAGTATGATCTTGACTATCAGCCGCGGTGCTAGTGTGATCCATGCCTTTTTGTGCTGGCGGCAAGGAGCCTCAATCTGAATCCTAACAAAAGTACTAGAATATGTACTATACTGAGAAAGTTTAATTCCAAATATAAAATGTGTTACATGTAACCACTTTGCAAAAGAGATTGTGTGTTCATAACTTTTCAATGTTCTAGAGGTTTGTGAGTTATCAATATTGTGGATAACAACCTCTTGTTTATTGCACATTCGTACAGAGTTATCAAGCTAAAGAAACATCGCTCTGTGCAATAAACAAGACGTTGTCATCCATAAAGATGTTTGCTTCATCTTTAAATGATGCATATACATTACTTGTTTGATCATGACCGCCTCCGTGGTGTAGTGGTTAGAGCGTCCGCCCGGAGAGCGGAAGGTCGCGGGTTCGATCCCCGACCGCGTCATAGCAAAAGACGTTAAAATATGGTACTTGTTGGTCCCTGCCTGGCGTTCGGCATTAATGGGTACAACAAGGACTGGTCAACTCGGAGTCAGTATAATGTGTCTGAGTGGGGTATTCATGCTTCACTGCGGCATGGTATCTCAGTGGGATAGCACTATAAAAACCAGCTTAAGTCTGGGCTAGTACAAGCAGCCGCACATACACATACACACGCATGCACGTCGTCATACGAGCGAAATATTCTCAAGCACGACGTTAAACCCATTTTCACCTCACCTCACCCTCACTTGTTTGATCATAGAACTTAGTATAATGTGTTACATGTAACCACTTTGCAAAAAGAGATTGTGTGTTCATAACTTTTCAATGTTCTAGAGGTTTGTGAGTTATCAATATTGTGGATAACAACCTCTTGTTTATTGCACATTCGTACAGAGTTATCAAGCTAAAGAAACATCGCTCTGTGCAATAAACAAGACGTTGTCATCCATAAAGATGTTTTTGCTTCATCATTAAATGATGCATATACATTACTTGTTTGATCATGACCGCCTCCGTGGTGTAGTGCGGAAAGTTAGAGCGTCCGCCCGAGAGCGGAAGGTCGCGGGTTCGATCCCCGACCGCGTCATAGCAAAAGACGTTAAAATATGGTACTTGTTGGTCCCCGCCTGGCGTTCGGCATTAATGGGTACAACAAGGACTGGTCGGCTCGGAGTCAGTATAATGTGTCTGAGTGGGGTATTCATGCTTCACTGCGGCATGGTATCCTCAGTGGGATAGCACTATAAAAACCAGCTTAAGTCTGGGCTAGTACAAGCAGCCGCACATACACATACACACGCATGCACGTCGTCATACGAGCGAAATATTCTCGCAAACGACGTTAAACCCATTTTCACCTCCACCTCACCCTCACTTGTTTGATCATAGAACTTAGTATAATGTGTTACATGTAACCACTTTGCAAAAGAGATTGTGTGTTCATAACTTTTCAATGTTCTAGAGGTTTGTGAGAGTTATCAATATTGTGGATAACAACCTCTTGTTTATTGCACATCTGTACAGAGTTATCAAGCTAAAAGAAACATCGCTCTGTGCAATAAACAAGACGTTGTCATCCATAAAGATGTTTGCTTCATCATTAAATGATGCATATACATTACTTGTTTGATCATGACCGCCTCCGTGGTGTAGTGGAAAGTTAGAGCGTCCGCCCGGAGAGCGGAAGGTCGCGGGTTCGATCCCCGACCGCGTCATAGCAAAAAGACGTTAAAATATGGTACTTGTTGGTCCCTGCCCGGCGTTCGGCATTAATGGTTACAACAAGGACTGGTCGGCTCGGAGTCAGTATATAATGTGTCTGAGTGGGGTATTCATGCTTCACTGCGGCATGGTATCTCAGTGGGATAGCACTATAAAACCAGCTTAAGTCTGGGCTAGTACAAGCAGCCGCACATACACATACACACGCATGCACGTCGTCATACGAGCGAAATATTCTCAAGCACGACGTTAAACCCATTTCACCTCACCTCACCCCTCACTTGTTTGATCATAGAACTTAGTATACTGTGTTTACATGTAACCACTTTGCAAAAGAGATTGTGTGTTCATAACTTTTCAATGTTCTAGAGGTTTTGTGAGTTATCAATATTGTGGATAACAACCTCTTGTTTATTGCACATTCGTACAGAGTTATCAAGCTAAAGAAACATCGCTCTGTGCAATAAACAAGACGTTGTCATCCATAAAGATGTTTGCTTCATCTTTAAATGATGCATATACATTACTTGTTTGATCATGACCGCCTCCGTGGTGTAGTGAGTTAGAGCGTCCGCCCGGAGAGAGCGGAAGGTCGCGGGTTCGATCCCCGACCGCGTCATAGCAAAAAGACGTTAAAATATGGTACTTGTTGGTCCCTGCCTGGCGTTCGGCATTAATGGGTACAACAAGGACTGGTCGGCTCGGAGTCAGTATAATGTGTCTGAGTGGGGTATTCATGCTTCACTGCGGCATGGTATCTCAGTGGGATAGCACTATAAAAACCAGCTTAAGTCTGGGCTAGTACAAGCAGCCGCACATACACATACACACGCATGCACGTCGTCATACAAGCGAAATATTCTCAAGCACGACGTTAAACCCATTTTCACCTCACCTCACCCTCACTTGTTTGATCATAGAACTTAGTATAATGTGTTACATGTAACCACTTTGCAAAAGAGATTGTGTGTTCATAACTTTTCAATGTTCTAGAGGTTTGTGAGTTATCAATATTGTGGATAACAACCTCTTGTTTATTGCACATTCGTACAGAGTTATCAAGCTAAAGAAACATCGCTCTGTGCAAT